CACAAGTAATTGACGCCGCTTTCTTAAAGAGTTCCTCCGTTTACCCAACTCTCTCAACATCACTCTATATTTCTTGAGTTTGGCAATGGTGGGCGGTGATAAAGGTATCTTTTTCTTCAACATGTTCAACGTGAATTCACTGACGGCATTGATTTGATCTTTACTAGCGTGAAGTAATTTTTCCATACGACGCTTTCTATTTTTCTCTTGTAAAATAGATTTTAAAAAATCCACATTTCTCTTGAAACTATTAATCATTGCTTTTCTTTGTAAGAGCTTCTAGGCCTTTTTAGCCCCAAACGATGCAGCTCCTCCAAGGGCACTTAAACCCAATGCTTTACCTCCAGCAATGAGGGCTGGAATGAGTGCCGCTAATGGTAGGATACCTCCTTTTTGTCCTCTTTTGGTTAGTCTTCTTTTCACTCTTCTTCTCCTTCGGGTTGTGGGCATACTGCGCTTATAACCAGGCATCTTTCTTATTTATTTCTCTCTGTAACAGCGTACACACCCTTCGTGTCGTAACAAGTGACTTAAAAGTCTCGTAGAATCTCTACTTACAGGGTGTACGTCAAATAACAAATAACCATAGGGTCTGTCCGTACATGCATTATATATATCCATGACAGGTAGCCACTTGGTCGGGTATATCTGTAGCAGTAAGGTGCGCAACGCCACTTTATCTCTAGGATTTTTAAAGGCAATAATGTATTGCGCATTCCCAGAGATGGTCTTGGCATATTTTCTTTGAGGGAACATGTCTTGGCAGAGATAACACACGGTGACATTCATGTGATGAGAATATTGTGTGAAAAGATTAAGTACTTCTCTGTCATCTCCTCCCTCCGACATGAGATCATCCAAGACAAGAATACCCCCTCGTTTATCTCCAAACCATGTTGTTAAATCGTCGTGGGTAGGCACTCCTTTAAAAAATTCTATGCCATGGCGTTGCATGTCGTCAAACTTATTTTGCCAGGATCCATAACAGTAATGCACGGGGCGGTCTTTCGTCAAAGAGGTCTAAATTTTCCAAAAGTAGGTGATGGAGAAAGGTGGTTTTTCCACAACTTGTAGGGCCCACAATCAAAATATTGGAAGGGGATTTGAACGAAAATCCTGGTTCCACACACTTGAACATGATTGCTAAAAGCGAGTTATACAAAAATGACACGATTTTATTTCATTCCTTTTATTTTATTAACGATTGAATGATGTCTTCTAACATGTCGCCTACTTTATCATCGTTGCCTACATAATCCTTTTTAGAAAACATGGAAAAAAACTCATCCATACTCTTGCGTCTTGCTTTACACATTAAATAAATGATGGCATAGTTTCCACAACTTGCGGTTTTTACAGATTGTAATGCTCAAGTATTTTTACGCACATAAGGCCATCGGTTTAACCATACAATGAATGGTGTCAGAAATTCATAGGTGGTTAAATCTAAACCATAACTATCTAAAATTTCACAGCTATCGTGTTCAGTCCACACAGCTATCCAGTGTTCCCAGGTTTGTCTGCAGGGTGGGTATTGACAATGTAAGCTCTCGGTTTCACACGTTCAGGCGACTCGGGTAGTTCGTCATAGGCTAAAGCACTCACAAAGTACTTGCGGAGTTCTGGATCGCTATCCGCTAAAGCGTTGAGTTGATTCGTAGTAAGCCACACAAACTCCATCACTAATGCACTTCCATCGTGGTAGCTCCTTTAATGCCATCAATTTCCATAATGCCTTCATATTCAGCATAAACGATCACCGTTTTCTGACTTGCTTGCCCTGCACATTTAATGTGAATGTTGATGAAGCCTTCATTTTTAGGTAGAAGAAGTTCTTCCATTGGCCACATTGGAAAACGCAAACAGCGTGCAATTTTTTCCATGACCCCAGCCTTTGAATCGCACCATGTTTCCTGCATTTCTGCACAGACAGCCAGTAGCATCCAGAAATCGGTGATAACCCACTAAGTCTTTTTGACCATTAGCCGTGTTGAGTTCCAAAGTCTCGTATGGGTATTCTTCTCCATTCACAATTTGTTTGATGTATTCCACCCCAAATTTTCCAAAGGCCAAGGGGTCTTTGTTGTATTGACCATTGAATGCAGTAGTTTTCAGAATACCAATGATGACTCTTTGGGGCACCTTTCCATTGAATGGGTTGTTGATTTCTTTAGAAGTGGCCCCATTGTCTAGGGGAAACTGTCTCATCTCGGTACGGATCATGGGATACTTGGTTGGGGTTTTGGTCATCATACTCATCATGCTCATGTAGACGGCTGGGTTTAGGGACACCAGACATAGAAAGAAGGTTAGTTTAATATCTTCTGGGTTGACTCGGACTTCCTCACTGGGTGGATTGGCTTCTCCATTCATGAATAAAGCTGCTGGATTCAGATAAAATTCCAATTCCAAAAGAGTTTTGGGGACGATCCATTTTCCTTGGTGAAACGCGTCTATAAATGGTTTCATTCTCAAGATTCTCCTCTTTCCTCCTGCATAGTAATCTGTTGCATCTGCTCTCTGTCTCTTGATGCTTTCTTGATGATTTATGGAAAGAGCTGTATACGTGTCATCATCCATCTTGACATTTGCAGCGGTGTAGGTTACAGGAGAATCAATTTCGTTCAGCCATCCAGCTGGTTCGAGTATCATCTCTCCATCATTCCTGTCATAATTAAGGATCGTCTGTATGAAAGCTTTAAGATGGTACATGTCTACTTGTTCGGTGAGTAAGGTACCATTGGCTCTGAAATTGATTTGCTTGAAGAGGGTGTGTGCAATATTGTTGGCTGGTGAAGTCATCACACCCACATTGTTTGCGCGTGCTGTGAGACTGGCATTTTCTGTGGTTTTGAAACCCAAATCCAGTTGGACAAAACTTCTCGAAAGATCGATGAGATCTGATTGTCGTTCCACGTACACTTGGATAGGAGTAATACTAGATGTCTGAGGTGGTATTTTGACATATCGGTACTTTACCGTAGAAAGATCTGTAGGTGGTATTCTAAAGAGATCTAGACTTGAATTCTGCTTTGCCCCTTTGATAGACATGGTGATGTGTCTGTTTCAACGTCTTCTGCGTTTATGCACACGTTGTCGTGTTCCTATTTTCTTTATACGTTTTGTGAGAAATCCTCCTCGTTGCTGTTGTTTTCTTCTTCTCCCTTTATACCTTTTTAAGATGGAAGACACAGGATCTGTTGGTGATGTTGTGCCTACACCAATGATAGGATCACTTTGACGTACGGTGCTCATGCGGACCATGTTTTATTCTCCAAAAATATCGTTCAACCTCTTGGCAACTTTTCTCTTCAATTCGTTCTTGAGTGCTTGGGAAGCCCCTCTCTTTATACCTCGCGGCACTTCTGATAACGAACGCTTTTTGACACTGCTTTTAAGGCCTCCTGTTACACCTTTCAAAAAATCTTTAGCCATGTCTTTGACTCCGGCACCTATTTGAGGATCACCCCAGGATCCGATAAAAGGTGGTGGGGCATAAGGTGAGGGAGTCTGCCAGCGCATGAGACCACCACCTCCTTGTTCATTTGGCACATACACTTTAAAGCGTCTCAAACTTCCTCCTCTCATGATGCGATCACCACAAACACACAATTCACTTTAAATCTTTTTTATTAATCCAACTGTTATATTTGCTAGGGTACCCTTTCCACTTGACAAACAATTTATCCTTTTGTCTCTTTAATACTTTTTCCACTCGAAAATAAGTCGCTTCATCTACATGTACTTTTTCCAAATCCCACACATAAAATGTGCCTTGTAAGGGCGTGTCATCCAATTCTTGCACTTTATAGGTCGTTACCATTCCGGGTACGACTTTACGAACTTGAAACACTTCTTCCGTCCATCCTGGTAGATACCCTTTCTCAAACGGTCTAAATTTTTTATTCAATCGGACTTTATCGCCTACTTTAAATGCAGGCTTTTTTTCTTTCTTAGTCTGATATTTCCCATACAAATTGTTCCACACTTCTTTGGCATTGAATGTGGTGACTTTAGCTGGTGTGGTTTTAATACTCCTGTGATAGGTGCGATTGTATTCATTGACAAGTTTGGGCAATATGTCTACATATTTGAGTGTGTTGGCAGCCGTGAAATAGCGATACAATTTCGATTTAAGGGTTCTATTAAATCATTCGACGATACTGGCTTTGGCATCTCCATGAGTAGAAAAGTGATGAATCTCTTGTGTTTTCATCAATGATTGAAAGGTCTGATTGTAAAATTCTTTGCCTGCATCTGTCTGTAACGTCTGAGGTTTCCTTCCTTTGGCTTCCTTGAGTATTTTTGCAAACGCATCCGTCACATCTTTTCCTGGTTTTTTTTTAATCGGCCGGGCCCACGCATATTTGGAAAAGGCATCGATCACGACCAATACGTATCGGTATCCCTTGTTCTGTTTGGATAGGGTCTGTACTTCGATCAAATCTGCTACCCATTGTTGATCAATGTCGAACACCACCACAGGTAAAAATTCTCCTCGTCGACGTCTGGGTTTGTGAAGCGTGTACGCCAATTTTTCCTCTAATTCTTTTTTACCTTGAGCAATAGAGATCTTTTGAGCTTTGGCATACGGTGCCACACCACCCAAACTACCGACGACACCGGGTTCGTCATACAAGTCGTCCTTGACATCTTTCTTAATGTTCTTAACCATGATAAATGACACCAAAGTTTGAAAGAATGGTAGGTGACCCAATACTTATGAAGGTACTGCGTATACAAATGATTCCACGTCTTATATGTATACTTCCCATCATAGTATCTCATAAACGTCATCAAATGAAAGATACGGTCGTGTAGTGGATGTAGGTGTGGTTTCACGACAAACTTAAACACCTCAACTTCCATGTCTTTGGGAACCCATTGGTAAGGGATTTTATGCGGCTCATCCTCTTCGAAGACGATATGTGGGATGCAATCACAAAGCCACGACACCACTCAATAATGTAAGTAGCATAGCCATCGACTCCACGAGGTAAGCATGATGAACTCGTGATTTTTTTTCATCGCCGACCCTTTTTATAATGCTTGACATTATCCATAATGCCTTTTAAAGCCTGTTTTCCCAGAAGTTTACCAAGTGTTCCAAAACCTGGTGCAGGACCCGATAACAACATACTTGCTGCGTAAGCTAATTTATCGGTAAGAGAGGGACCTCTACGAAGAATTTTCTTAACCCTACTCACAGAAGCACCCCCACGTTGATTGCGTTTTCTTCTTTTAATCAGTGACTGTCTTACACGCCTCATGATTGACACAGACAAATGACACAGTGTTTTTGGTGATACAACTTTTATTTATTTATCCATATTATCTTCTAAAAACTGTACATCATAAGCAATACATTCTAAGTCTTTATCTGACAATCCTAAGCGTCTAGCTAATTTCCTAAACTTAGGCATACCGATCAACCAAGCGATTTCAACATGATCGTCCATAGACAATGTATCTAGCTTTGTGTTTCTACCCATCAACCGTGCGATTTCAAGATGGTCTGTACTTATCCCATCTACAAAAAATTAACAAAACTTGGAATTACAATTAAAAAACATGTGTATTTTTACATCTGGTGAAAGAAAAGTTTGAATGAACATTATGCCTAAAAAATTAATACATTTGACTCTCATTACTTTCTTTAAAGTAAAGGAAAAAAGGCTTCTAATAAATCAGCAAATGTCATCTTGACATCTAGTCCTGAAATGAATCATTCACATCCATCCGTAAGAATTTGCACTGACCTCTTGTTGGGTTTAAATCGCCACCAGGTAAAAAGATCACAGTTATGTCGACTGCATCGCAAATACATTTTGCCATAATTTGTTTCTGATTGAGTCAAAGACAATGTAGGAGTCATTCCACATTCGCACACCATCTTGTCGATTCTGTCCAGGGTGAACCAGGGGTGACCCTGTCTTTGACATTCATAGTAATAATGGTTGTAATCACTGAGATTACAAAATATTGGGCAACGAGCGGACGAGCAACGTAGGAATACATCGTCACAATCTTCTTTTTTAGATTTCAATACGTCCATCATGCTCTGGTGGATCGGACATGGATACTGACTTCCACACTGTCCAGTAACTCATCCAAGGAGGAATACTGATACGTACCTGTACCAGAATCCTGTGGAATCTCGCCTTCTTCTAGCACTTCTACCTCGGTCTTCTCTGTCGTCAATTCTGTCTTGATAGTTTCTACCAGTTTGTTCAACTCTTTCAATGGCGGCTGTGACTTGGCAGGCTTTGATTTAGGAGGGATACGGTGTTCTGGTTTCATATAATCCATAGCTATTTGTGGCTCATTCACATCAAACTTGGGTGGTCCTCCTCCAAAATTGTCATGCATCGGTGTATCAGGAACGTTATCTTTACCTCGGAAATCAGGATCATACATAGGCAGCGCATCGATGAAAATAGTACCCTTCAACTTATTCTTGGCTTCTGTTTTCTTCTTGTTTTCTTTTTTGACATAAGGATGATTCTTCTTGGTATTTGACGACATCTTGTTCCTTGCTTGCTTGCTTGCTCACCACTCTACGAGAAAGAATAGTGAGTTCCTTAAAAATCTGCTCTACTTTTATACATCTTAGATCTCTTGTTTTTGAATTCTACCTACTAATTGGTTACAAACTGTAGAACTTTGATCCTGCATGATTTAGCAAAATCTTCTCATTGGCTACAACCTGTACATTTTTTTTTTAGTTCTCTAGAGATTAAGGCAGCCTCGGACAGCCTTCATTTAATCCCCTCGAGGTTAGGGCAGCCTTGGGCAGCCTTCATGTAATCCCCTAGAGGTTAGGGCAGCCTTGGGCAGCTTCAGGCAGCCCCGAACAGTCATCTTTTTCAGACAAAATCTTACACTGCGCATGCGTAAAGTCTCTGACAGACATCTCACACTGCGCATGTGTAAAGTGTTGTAACATCTCCCACATGATGGGAAGTGAGGTCTTGACATATATATTTATCTCATCATGAAGTCGTATGTGTAACATGAATATACAAGTACACGTTACATTCCCCTAAGGGAGGCTGTTAACTAATTTTTACCCCACCTACACCCTCATATTATGAATACATTACACCGCCATCTTGAATGAAGTGAATAGCTTACAATGGCGTTGACTGCATTGCAAATACATTTTGCCATAATTTGTTTCTGATTGAGTCAATGACAATGTGGGAGTCATTCCACATTCGCACACCATCTTGTAAATTCTGTCCAGGGTGAACCAGGAGTGACCCTGCCTTTGACATTTATAGTAATAATGGTGGTAGTCATTGGGATAACAAAAGACTGGGTAACTGGCGATCGAGCAACGTAGGAGTACATCGTCACAATCTTCTCTTTTAGATTTCAATCCGTCCACTATGGTCTGGTGGATCGGACATGGATAACTGACATCCACACTATCCAGTACCTTATCCAAGGAGGAATACTGAGACGTACCTGTACCAGAATCCTGTGGAATCTCGCCTTGTTCTAGCACTTCCACCTCAGTCTTTTCTGTCGTCGGTTCTGTCTTGATATTTTCTACCAGTTTGTTCAACTCTTTCAATGGCGGCTGTGACTTGGCAGGCTTTGATTTAGGAGTGATACTGTGTTCTGGTACATATAATCCACAGCCATTCGTGGCCTATTCACAACAAACTTGGGTGGTTCTCCTCCAAAACTGTCATGCATCAGGGTATCTTTACCTCGGAAATCAGGAATATTCATAGGCAGTGCATGAATGACAATAGTACCCTTCAACTTATTCTTGGCTTCTGTTTTCTTCTTGTCTTCTTTTTTGACATAAGGAGGATTCCTCTTGGTATTTGATGACATCTTGTTCATTGCTTGCTTGCTTGCTCACCACTCTACGAGAGAGAATTATGACTTCCCTTAAAAATCTGCTGTACCTTTATACATCTTAGATCTATTGTCTTTGAATTCTACCTGCCCATTGGTTACAGACTGTAGAGCTTTGATCCTGCATGATTTAGTATAATTTTCTCACTGGCTACAACCCGTAGAAGTTTTTTTAGTTCTCCAGAGATTAGGGAAACCTTGGACGGCCTTCATGTAATCGCCTAAAGTTAAGGGCAGCCTTGGGCAGCCATCTTTGTCAGACATCTTACACTGCGCATGCGTAAAGGGTTATAACATCTCCCACATGGATGGGAAGTGAGGTCTTGAGATATATATATAGATCTACATATTTCATGACAACAATTCATACATTACATGAACATATAGGTACACGTTACATTCCTCTCAGGGGATCCGTCATTTGCCCACTACTATAACTAATCCAAAAATTCTCCACTATACATATATTTGTGGCGAAGTTATGGAGGTTGCAACACGAAGCGAGCCTATAAAAGGTCAGCGGTTTGCACTTTGTTAGCTTCCTTCGCACCGATAATGGTGGCTTTCTGCAAAGGTCACTATCGTTATAAATCTTCTGCTAAATCTCTTGTTGTCTGCTTTCAAGAAATGATACATTAAATTATTTATTTACAACCCCCACCATTCGCTTACCTTTTCAAGAGTGTCTTAAATGTCGTTCTTAGACAAAAAACTTAAGAAACAAGCGAAAACTTCCTTCCCGTTCGGAGAAGATTCAAATTTCGCGGGCGCTCAAGATCGATGAACGCATGTCCTCCGTTGAGAAAATGGGCCTGCAATCATGAAGATCATCTATTTCTATAACTTGAGCATGCCTGTAGGTTCTGTACGATAGTGAGGCTTGTACTTTGAGTTTTGGCGGCGGGAAAGTAAAACAAAACAAAACAAAACAAAACAAACAGAAGTTATGTGTTCGTATGTATACGTTTTGCGACCATGCTAGGCCGCCATAGTGCAAATGCACCTCCAAACTGTTCTATTCAGAACAAAAAAATCCGAAATTCTGAGTACTACAAAGAAAAGAAAGAGTCTTTAAAGGCTAAAAAGGTCAGGTACGACTTCAAAATAGAGTTAAACAAAGAAGAAGAAGGCCGCCTGGAGTCACTGAAGATGAAAATTGTATCCATCAAAAAAGAGCTGCATTTGGATAACAAACTTGTACCTGCAGCAAACGCTCGTTTTATGGAAATTTTAGGGAATTTTTTGCTCGTGATAAAATGCACATCTACACTAAGGAAAGCTTATATACACTCACAGAAAGCGAACTACAAATATTTACCCTGTGTTCGAGTTGTGTTGAATACAATTCAAGCTTTATTCAAGCAAATTTCGCTATAAACATGCACTGAAACAATGCAAATACTCATTCATTGATAATTTTCACGTTTGATTGTAGTTTGAACGTGGGCATCTACAAAGAATTACATTTCTGTCAAGCCCGGCTGAAATTACGCGACATGTAAATCAAGCTACATTTATAAATTTACCAGCATCTTCCTCTTCACGGACATTGCTATCTTGTGTTATTTTTGCTCTTTTCCTTCGGCTGGGTTTGGTTTCAGAGGCAACCTCCCCGCCGCTGAAGGCCACAAAAGGACGCAGAGATTCCATTTCACTCACTGGCATTAGAAGTGCAACCTAAAACACGGCATTTACGTTGAGTAACAAACTCCAAGTGAAACAACAAAAAAGGTGTTAAAATGCATGTATATGAAGTACGATACCTGTCTAAATTCTTCTTCTGTAGATGCCATTCTTGTTGTG